CTTATTTTCTTTTTCAATAATCATGAAAAAAATAAGCGTCTAACCCATTTCACAAACATGGCCGTCTAATTTTAAACTAGGCGGAGCCTGTGCTATGACTTATATATACCTAAAATAATATATTTCTAAATTCAAACATATTATAAACTAGCTGCTGCCCGCGACTGCGTTCGCATGGAGTTTGATAAGCGCTGCCTTAGTGGTGTACTGACCGACTGCAGTCCATGAGGCCTCAGGTTCGATTCCCGGACCGGGCAAAATTTTATAGGGTTTTTCTGAGAGGAAAAATAGCCTGAGTTACTCCTTTTATAGATATCAAAATCTGGTAGTAAAATAATATCAAAATCAGTCCAGCCGTTTTGAAGGTCATCCGGAACAAACAGACAGACGGACGTACAAATAATACATACTATTTGTGATGTACATAAGAACAGTACTCTGAATAATATAAAACTTAATTCGATTGCTCAAAATTCAACACAGTTTCGACATCTGTCGATTCAAATGCACGGAAAGAAAGCACACTACTAAAAAACTATCGAACGCACTTCTCGTGGCAATGACTTCAAAACGTACTATTTCACAATACCATAACTTGCTCAAACTTGTTGCTTAGTAAGTTTTTGTCGTTGAATGCAATGCGGGGAGTCGTGCGCTTCCTTTTCGCCTCTTCTACCAAGATGTAGTTACACTAGATATGATTCGTATTTCATACGATACGTATTTTGGTTTGGAGGTACTGACTATAAATGCTTTCAAAAGGAAATAGAATAAAAAAAATGTAAAGATTGTCTGGTGGCTGAAGATCTACTATAATTCATTAGCTTTTGAATGCATTGTTTAATTTCCTGCTTAGTTGTGGTAGTTTTCCTTTTAATGTTGTTATATATACTACTACCGGTACTTTTTTCGGACTTCTGATACTTCCGTTTAGCTAGCTAGGAGGGGGGAAAACACTTGACTGTAACAAATGTCGGCGCTTTAAGGCTTGATATCTCACAAAAGGACAAAATATTGTCTTTACAGAGACTTATTATTTTTAAAAGACAGGTCTGTCTTATTTATATATATTATAAATAAGACAGACCTGTCTTATTTATAATATATCTTATTTATATATATATATATATGACACCCCACATCATGGGATGGATGAATATGAAAAATAACATCCCCACTCTAGAGGTACTAGAGATACCCTAAAAAATATATTTTTCAAGACTTCAGTTTATCACTTTGTTTTCGTGATTCTGTCGAGAGGTTAAGTGAAGTTACAGGTCTCTAACACTAATAGTCTACGAGATATAGTGTGGATAGATGGACGGACGGACAGACATGACGAAAATATAAGGGTTTTGTTTTTGCTATTTGAGCTACGGCACCCTAAAATTGAAAAAGAACCAAGAATGTTTGACCGCTTTGATACTTCATATGGAATATATTAACAATTTACCGCTTACCGTATCCAGTATGAACTAACTCCGCGTCCCTTGACAATAGGACTTTTACCAATTGTGTGATAATTTTGTGCTGAAAAACGATTCATGCGATAACTTCTACGGTTTCAAACTGCGCGGTCGCATGTCTCTCTGTGGCTGTTTGAAAATGGCTGTGGTTTTTGTTATATAATTCTTGAATATTTATTTTGTTTTTATTCCAATGAGAACAAGCTACTGTGTGTATAATATTGTACGGCTACTCTAATAATTCAAGATAACCCAAATGTATGTAATAATACGCCTATATGATAGCCTCTTAAAAACCAGTTGATTTCCTCCAGGCTTAATCCCGTTTCCCCATCTGCAGCTATTTCTTACCCTAACTCTCTCTCCTTGTACACCGGACTAATTTTTAGATCTTAATTCATACATAGGACTAAGATACCACATGTCTCGAGTTGGTAAACTGGATAAAGATAGTAGTAGCTGGAAGAAATAGGTGTTACGTACCCGGACGGACCTGTTGGTCTAGTGATAAGTGATTCTACCTTCTAAGCCAGAGGTCATGGGTTGGAATCCCCCCCCACAAAAACTGGTTGCGTGATATGCCTGAGTATAGTTTATATATATAATGTTTTTTGTAATGCTTTTTTTAGACAACTCTCGCATTAGGAATATATCCTGTGTGGCGGGGGACTTTATACACAAAACACAAATATACACAAAACGGACACAAAAAATACCTAGACTCAGAACGACAATTTGTGGATCACACAAAGTGTCGTCCCTTGTGGGGATCGAACCCACAACACTCAGCGTAATAGAAAGCGGTATGGCGACCGCTTAAAACACAACGCCATCCGTGCAGTCAGTCAAATGTTAGGTCGGTTTGTGTACGCTACAAAAATTCAATAAGTTTTGCACCGATTGTACTTAAATTTTGACACAATATACAATTCGCTTCAAAGATTATTTTTATCTATTTTTCGCGTCAGTTTTCTTTCTAATTTCTCATCAATTCAACCACAATTTACTACAGCAAAGCTTGGCAGGGTACAGCTTAAAGCTAGGTTATCTATAATATGATCTGTTTAGAAATATATAAGTATGTTTCTCAGCAGTCTGGTTACCATAGTACGGGCTCTGCATGGTATGGGGTCAGACGGCCGTGAGTGATTTGTGTGAGGTTATTTTGTTACATTTTTTTTATATGTTTCTTCTGCAGAGAGGTATTCCTAGGATAGGAATATCAAACCTACTCACTTTAACTTTTTTAAATGTTATCAATATCCAAATATCTAAAAAAAATATTCTTAACAAAGAATACTAAAAAACAGAAACTATCTCTGCCTAGAGTCTCGCATTCTATATGAATAGAATAAACATAAATGGTGTTATATAACGCTCTTACTTTCGAAAAGTGAGGACATTTCATAATAATATCAAAATTGCCTGTGACATTGGTTTCACTTATGTAGAGTTATTCTATATTTATTTATAGACTCTATTTTAAACCCACTTCCATCCCTTCACCCCTCAACTGAAGAATTAGATTAAGCAAGCAGAAAACAAAATTGATCTAGAGTATCTTTTCTTAGTAGGCCAAGGTTAGTATAATGCTGCATCCTTTTCAAAGTTATTACTGTTGTACATAGGCCTCTCCTTAGAAAGGAGAATTTGGGCCTGCGATACCACGCTGGCCCGACGGGTCGGTATAGGGTTTGTTTCAAGTTTTCCTTCTCTTTTCTAAGTGTTATCTGTCTGATACTAAAATTCATTGAAATTAGGTTTAGCTGTTTAAGCGTGAAAACTTTACAGATGGAGGGTTGTGTAACATGTAATTTAGGTCATGCGTATAAGAAGTTTTCTAAACGAACAATGCGTTTCGTGACGGATTAAGGATACGGAGGGTCAACCACCCTTATTCATTACGTAGGTGTCGTAAGAGCCGACTAAGGATGTAAACTGCATAGAGAAGAAAATCGAACCCAATACCAACCCGTCTGGCCAGCGTGGTATAGTAGGCCAAAACCTATTTTCTAAGGAGAGGCCTATGTCCAGCAATGGACTATTAAAGGCTGTTGTTGTGATGTGATGTGCGTGTAATGAATCTATGTAGGTATATATTTATGTGAAGAGATTTTTGCACCTCTTGTTAAGCAAATTTCATACCCTGTCAAAATTACAAAAAAGAGGCCTCACAGTACTTAACGAAAAAAAATTTCTTTTTTCGTTATTAATTTGATCTATGACTAACATACAAAGTAAAGAAATAGCTCATTTCGTCTAGTCTTTGTTAAGTTATCATCATAAACAGCCTTTAATAGTCCACCGATGGACATAGGGCTCTCCTTAGAAAGGAAGTTTTTTTTTTTGTAAAGTTGTACGAGTAATACCTGACAAATAAGGCATCCTATACAAGCGATCTTCTGCTTTCTAATGTTAGGAGAAGAAGTAACAATGTCTACCGATTCTTTTTTAAGTTCAAACTTCACACAAACTGTTATGTACTGACTTTTTATATTATACAATTGTTTATAGTTTTTAACCGACTTTAAAAAAGAAAGAGGTTGTCAATTCCATTGTACTGTTTTGTTTGTCAGTTCAGAACTCTCTCATTTACGAACTCAATTTTTTTTTTTTTGTGATATATAGGAAGGTATACTTCCCGTTTTGTCTCATTAAAAGCATAAGAAAAATATTAACCTTGAAGTTAAAAATTAAGGAATGAAGAATATAGGTTATAACTTATCACAATGTACCTAGAAGTCAGTGATACTTTTAGTAAAGTAAAAAATTATACATTAATAACGTTTTATTTCAATCGATACTTGTTACGTTTGTTTGTATGTTTTTAATGTTGTTACGCCTAAACCACTTAACCGATTTTAAAAATTCTTACGCCATCTTATTTATACTAAACCATCATACACGCGTGCGGAGCCGCGGGCAAAGCTACTAAGAATCTAAGTGATGCTTAATTCGACCTTAACGCCAGAAGCCATGAGTTCAATTCCATCTCATTTCAAATATATACTCGTATAAGCATAAATTTGTCCGTGTATATAAGTTGGGATATTTATATGTAAAATATGTATGTGATACAAAAATATATATCAGTGTGCGTCCTACATCGTCCAGAACAATTTACAATGAGATCTAAATAGTTCTGTAAATATATCAAAGGATATTCTACGTCTGCACTATAAGCATTATATTATATCTGTACTTTGCTTGTTTGATTAAATACATTAATCTCAAAAACTATCAGTCAGATTCTAATGATATTTTTTGTGTTAAATAAAACAATTATTAAGACATAAAACAGGCTATAAAACATCATGCTTCTGCCTTTGAGAGCGGCACATTGGCTCTAAACGCAAATGACTAACGATATTATTTTATTATTGAAATATGCCAATTTTATTAATAAATGAGTCGTGCATCTAAACATAGAATTTCTAGTACCATCATACATTTTCTAAAATATTAATGTGAAATATTTCCGCTTAAAACACCCAACATACCAATAACTTATGAATAATAACTGAAATCTCATCACTAATTCATCGTATTCTCCAAAACAATCGACTCACCTCTCTCCGCGAATCCATCACCAGATCCCGTCCCAATATCCTGGAGCTGTTGTTCATCACCAACGTCATTCAAACCGAAACTTTGTTCACGAAACACAACATTATCCTGTATTGGACCTGCGTGAGAGTTCGTAAGCACTGAATTTACATTTTCTGTGGCATAAGGGAACACTACACGAGGAGACCTCGGCTTCCAGCCAGGATAGTAACCGTTCCGCCCCGCTGGGGCGTAAGAGGCAACAGGACCAATAGGAAAAGGATCAAAGGAGAAATTCGGGGCGTATGTTCTGCCAAATCTTCCATGGTAATACTGCGGAAACCCTTGATAAGTACGATATCTAGGCAAAGGCTCGTAAAACCTCTCATTCCCTGAAGGCAGCTCCTCCAGCTTCTTTTCATCACCCGGTGATGTAAACTCATAATCCGTCGATTCATCAAATTTGATCTTCGAATAGTTCTTGTCTTGAGTCAGGTCTATTTCTCCTTTGCCAAACGGTTGGTTGTTTTCGTCTTCATCCAAGAATATTACCCGGGACTGTCGACTTCTGGGTCTGCGTAAATAATTTTTTGGCACGAACATAACGTTTTTATACGTTTTTGGGTAGACTATGCTAAGCGCCCGGCTCGGTTCAACGGCGGCAACAGATACCACCACCAGCAAAATCACTTTCCATCCATTTTCGCTCAACATGTTGGTACGGTCACTGCTCTGACGTTTTCACTTTCATAACATATTCAAATAAAAACTACTTATTATTAAATAATTGTTGATGTGTTTAGTACATGATTTGAATCGGATTTTTTGTCTTTATATTTTATTTTTTTGTTCGTATTTCATAGTTTTTTTTAATGTACGGTGGTACGTGCGTTTGTCGCGACGGCCGGGCGGCTACTGGCGCGGCCCGAGGCCCGCCAATGCTGTTCCAGTACAGTTATATAAAAATGCATGTAGTGACGTGTTCATTTATGTAACATCGGTGATTAGTGATAGTGGGCTCGTGTTTTTGATGAAACGACCTGAAAGCAACACTTTCAGATCCGATTTGAGGACTATTTGCGTTAAGTTTGGAGTTATGTCATTTTTTTCTTTTCAGTTTTTTTTTAATAAAGTTTTGGGATATGCTTTACAGCAATATCTAAAACAACTAAGCATAACTTTATCTTACATACAAACATATAGATTTTTGTAAATATATAATAAACATCTGATGTATGTATGTATATATGATTATCCATATTCTCGTCAGTAGTAGTAATAAGTAGTAGAATCGAACCTGCGACCCATATGGGTCAAAGGTTAATGGTTAAATATTGGATTTGTTCAGTACGGTTTTAAAATGAATAGAGTTTTAATAAATTAATGTTTGCAACTCAATGTTTAATATTTATATTATTTTGAATGTTCTTTGACCTTTTTCTTGACGTCAGATCATTTGACGACAAGTTATTATTATTCTTGATATTGAAGAATATTAGCTTAAAAACTGTGCGGATTAGAGGTCTGCATTTGGTTTTCCTAAATATTATAAGAAACAAAGAGATCCGTAGAAGGACGGAAAAGTAGATAACTGTTGGTAGAAGAAGTATAAAGAAGTAAAAAAAAACACAGTCTCGAGAAACAGCCAATGAGACCAAAAGATTCTCAAGAAAGGAAGGTCGACACAGACAAGGTAGATGGAGTTAAAAAGTAATAGATTTATAAAGTTAGAATTTTACTCTCTGCCGGCATAAAATTCATCCTACATTTTATTTTTGTATTTGGCATTCTCCCTCAATACACCCTAGAAAAAAAATGTAATGTAGAGTCAAAGTTGTTCTACATCTATTAAACATAATAGGAAGAAGGCTTTCTGATTACAGTCAATAATAATAATAATACCCTTCACACATCTCACACACGCCCTTCTGATGCAGATAAACATACTTATATATTTTTAAATACATACGTATTATAGATAACTTACATCCAGATACAGAACAAATTATCGTGCTCTTCACACAATTATTTGTTCTGGGTAGAAATCGAACCCACGACCTCTGACTTAGCACTCAGGATAACTAACCACTAGGCCAATATACCCGTCGATACTCCAGCTGTTGCCTAAATTCATATGTATATGCTATATTCCTTTTCTTCTATAACTTCTCTTGTTACCTACTCACTTTCTTTTCAAGGGGGTAGCCTCCTTCTTTTCATTTTAATTTTATCTCCAAAGAAATACAACAATACAATATTACATGAATGATGTCAAATTATAGTTGACAAAATATGTATATTTAACAGGCTTCTGTCTACCCTTTCTAAGGATACAGCCGTGAGTGTATATATGTATGTAACTCTACATCACTACATATAGTGTTAATGATCTGCTCATAAACGTGTCTGAAAGGAAACATTATAATATCATAAAGATGAAAGTTTTTATTTTATTTTATTACCTCTAACCTCTGTTATAATGATTGCAATTATTTATGCCATTTAAGCCGTAAACAAGGATACTTTTGAGAAGTTATTCTCTCTCAATGGTAAATTAGGTTTAGTGAAGACGGGAACCAAATTTGAACTGTCTTCATAACAGACATAATCTACTATATAATTTTAGCGTTCAAAATGTCATGGCATTAAAGTTACAAACTAGCATACTTAATGTACGAACAATGGTCTCGTGCTTCATTCATTACATTCAAGTTCCATTCTCAATTTAATTACCATCTGAAACCAACCCTCCCCCCCCCCTTTGCCTTTGTAGCTGTTTTTTTAAGATACTTTTCATATTTAAAAAAATATAAAAATGTATCTTAAATGAAACGTTTTGTTGCACCCTTGACAATATGTATACAAAATTTCAGCAGACAACAGCACTACAAATAGAAGGAAAACTTGACACAAACTCTATACCAACCCGTCTGTGATTAGGTCAAAACCTCCTTTCTAAGGAGAGGCCCAGAAGTGGACTATTAAAGGCTGTTAATGATGATGATGCTATAAAAATGCAAGCAACAAGCAAACAATGTGACATTCGTATTTATATTAGTTAGAATGCCTTACAAGCCACTATTGAATACATGACTTTACCGAGTTGCTTACTAAAATTTGATTACATACATACACTTTCACAACGACTCTACAAAAAAATAATCTAAAGCGATTTACATACATTGTAGAGATCAATTCTATATTGAACAGTGCCATCTATATTTAAAGTTGTACAATTGCAAGAAAGCCTTCTCTACGTAGAGATGCAGATTTCTTTTATTGATTAGTACAATGTAATGCCGTGAGATGTCAGTGTTAACTGGCCTGTAAATGAAACTTTAAATTTATAAAACATAATTATATTATTTTGTATAAATTACTTAAAAAACATATAATGCACATAAAGTGGACATGTTCATATATTCATGTCTATATACCCCAAGGGGTAGGCAGAGACGAACACCCATATTTTGCCGAATATTATATTAGTCACGCTTACGTATTTGGATGTTTTATTCATCATCATCATCATCATCAGCCTATCGCAGTCCACTGCTGGACATAGGCCTCTCCCATTGCACGCCACTTGTTATATTGCTAGCACTTAAAAGTATGGTTTTGGTCCTGATACAAAAGACATCAACGCGTTGTTAGTTGTGTCCCCTAACGGCGCTTCTGTTTGAGCCCTCATACAAAAGACATCAACGCGTTCAAATGTTAAAAAAATACATTTTTGGCTATGATCAGACGATGGGCGTTGGCGGCGCGTCAAACGTACGTTAGGGTTTTACATAATTATTAATAGAAAGGGACTGTATTCTCTATTTTAATAACGAAGTCGAGAGCACGCCTCGTACATTTATTAAGCTAGAATACTTTCGAACGACAACCGTTGGGCCGCACGTAGATGGCACATTAGGTGCAATACCTTCCTATGGTGAGCTCCTCTCAGGCGTAGAATGAGCGTTGAGGTAGTTCAGTTCAAGTTCAATACTCATCTATACTAATATTGGTGCTAATTCCGTATGTACGCACCAGTATGAAGTTGAAGAGTTGATTCGTTTATTTGGTTGGTTGGACCGAGAAGAGCCGAGCATAAATAACAAATGTTGCAAAATTTAATCTTTTTGATAGACACAGACGTCAAAATTGTAGAATAAGTTGTATATAACAACTTATTCTACAATTTTGACGTCTGTGCCGATATTTATATTCTCTAACTTTTCTTCACTAAGTTTGCACCTACTATTTTATTTTCACAACACTCCATGGTTGACTGGGAGAAATGGCCTAAGGCATTAAGTCCGCCAATATATGTTACAATTAGTGCTTAAAATTTTTAAATAATATAAGTGCAGTAAACAACTTTAAATATGCAACTTAAAACAATTGCGCGTTCTTGTTGACGCACGACAGTATAACGTGGGTTCAACACTTTTCTTTTGAACACGATCTTACCTAACCTTACTTTTGTTTATGGTGTATATGGTTTTATATGGGGGGGAGCAAACTAGAAGACGGGTCACCTGATGGTAAGTGACTGTCGTCACCCACGGACCCCTGTAACTAAAGTAAATACTATAATAATAATAATAATAATAATAATTTTATTGACATTTAAGTTGGTATACATATGATTGAGAATCCCCTGGCATTAATAATACTATATTTTGTATGCCCATGCCCGCGCGGGATCGCGGTAAAATTACAAGATTGCTTCAACAGCAGCCCGTTGTCTATAACGACCTCATAGACGAATGGCAACAACGCTGGGATGAATCATCCAAGGGGCGCCATCTTTACCAATTCTTTCCACCTGTTCGCGAACGGTTGTCGAGGATATGGCTTGAGGTGGATCACTGTGTCGCTCAATTTCTTACGGGTCATGGTAACTTTAAGAGCAAGCTTTATTCATTTAAATTAGTCGAGTCACCATTGTGTCAATGCTCAACACCTAACTCTCACTATGAACAGTCTGCTCATCATATCCTCTGGGAATGTAGTCTTTGGTATAATGAACGTAATATAATGCTGAATAGCTTGCAGGTGACATCTGGGGCGGTATACTATGGGGATCTTGTGTCAACTAGGGTGAATTTCCGTGCGTTTAGGCGATTCTGCCATACATATTATAGAAATCAAACATAGCTCACGTAGGACCTGTAATATTTGTGGCCGTGGTGCTTCCCTGTTTAAAAGGGTGTATGCCCTTTTTACTTCATTTTGTCTCCCGCTTTGCTAAGGAGGGAAGTGGATTTACTGTATTTCCAACTCCTCCAATTTTCTTCTGATTAATTTCGTTGCGGGTTCCAAGACAGTTTAATTTCTTCCTGGGACTTCCCGAGTGTCATAACTCGGTGTGTTCGTGGGTCACTGCTGTGGATCCTGGTGTACAGGAGTTACAGCGGTGGGCGTGTGGGTGGGATTAGTCCAAAAAAAAAAAAAATGCCCATTTTGGTAGAACATAATGACAATGCATTGTCCTGATACCTTTATTGCTCTGTTCTGTTTATGTTTCGCCATAAATAAATTTGAATATAGTGTAAAAGGTCAGGTTCAAAACCACAGCCACTCGATTGGAAGTCCGAGTTCTTTAACTGTTGCTCTACCGCCGACTGTTAATTTTATAATAAACCACAATAAATATTTTTTCGTCTTCCATAATATACCTATAATAATATGTTCACAATTTCACTTCTAATTTCTCTGCGCAG